TGACCTTGAAAATGTAACAAAATCGAGAGACATCTATGTATTGGCCTAGCAAATTTTGAAGTAGAGGACTCTGATAACAGTACAGTAGTAGACATTTCAGCATCGTGTTTTCTTGATTCAATTGTTCTTTTTTGGCAGACTTGCTCGGAAGCCTTCCGAGAAGCGAACTTGGCTGCGTATTTCGGGAAGGCCATCAACTGCTGAGGCGAAGAAGCAAGCTTTTTTTGTTGACCTTCCGATTCGCCGCGGTCTTTGTTATTTCCGTCGCGATCGTGGTTAGACCGGATGCGTTTTTTTTCGGAAAGAGAAAGGCGTCTACAAAACTTTTTTTTTTTTGGTGATAGAGTTTCCGCGTGCTGGACGAAATGTATAGTGTGTGCAATGTCTAGTCTGCGCTCATGATTTTGTTCATCTTCCCCGAGTGAAACAGCCTGTCGCCACTGCTTTTGCTGACTTGTTCTTCTTCGCCACCGCGCAGGATTAGTCGATCATAAATATGGCCTAATTCGAAAACGTTCACCGCATATCTCTGTTAGTACTGTAATTAGTTATTTTGTAATTAATGCCAAAGAAAAGGAATAATATCCAGAATCGGTCAGGGGCTGTAATTTTTGTATGCATTTTCCTAGCAGGATTTGTCGCGTTATTTCATTTCAATCCTGTCGCGCGTGAGATGTCGTGGAGGGCGGACCTAGTGGGCCTTGCGCAGGGCCTGCAGAAGTTGGGCGCCGCTGTGCGTCAACAAAAGGCGTCCGATTGTCAACGATTATGGGCCAACTCCAGCGTTCGCGATGCGTGTCGATTGGGCGCCACTGGCCAGTCGCTCACCGACGCCCTACAGTCTCCATCCTCGGTCGCCGTGAGTGTTCATTTTTAACGATGATATATTTCTCGCTAAACAATTTGTAACCAACTGTTCCTGTTATTATTTCGATTAAAAAAGAATCGAAACTTGAAAAGGTAAAATTTAGAGGACCGCGACGTTGACATTTCTTGCAGGTCCGATTTAGCTTTCCATCAATCGTATATTTTTGAGGTACTGATGAGTATTTAATTTTAAATGACATTGTCTCACTGTTTCGTGAAGGAGAAAAATGCGCTATGAAAGTTAAAAAAAAAAAGTCAAAAGCACTTCCATTTGAGACCATTTTAGGTCTTCTGATTTCGCATTTCTGAAATGTTGGAAAAACTGCCCGAAGTCATTTGGACAATTCTGTATATCAGGTGTTGATGAAAAAATGTTCATCAACTTCAATTCGCTCTGAATTGAAGTAAATACAATGTCTTCATCAATTGAAATGAATTTGCGGAAGGGATTGCGATTGTAGATGATCTGATGAAATGATAAAAATAGCCTACTGCGATTGTATACCTGGTAGCTTGGTGGTGCTGAGCAAGTAGCAGAAGCAGTGCGGAGATCTGCTGTCGTGGTTGAAGGTGTTCGCCAGTTCGTCGCGGTAGGTGGGTTGTTGTTCTTCCGGAAATTAGAGCTTTACTTCAGGTTTTGCTGAATCTCTGAAATACCTGCGGTTAGACTGAAGTTCGCGAGCGAAAATTTCCTGTGAAATGGATAATTTTCTAAGTCGATGCACGTATTCGCTCTTTTTTCTTGAACGTGGGAAAGAAAAACTTTGAAAAAATTAAAAGCTCGATCAATCCATTCCTTGTTACAAAACGTACGAAAAAAATGTTTTGGTATTGAAAGAGAAAATCATCCAATCTATCTACTTCCGAACTTTTATCTAACTACCTTTACTGTACTTTGTAATCTAAAATTTAATTCCCTCTTCTTTTTTTTTTGTTTCATATTTGGTTTGAATATTATTTAATTATTTCTTTTTTGTATGTTAACTACATCAGCAATCCGACACAGACAAGGTTTTCCGTCGTCGACCGGATCTACAGTAGCCGAAGAATCCTCCGAAGATCTTCCACGCGAAGAACCGGAGGATAATGCGCTACAAACCAACAGGACGTCTTCGTTGGTCATGAAAGACTATTCACCACCTCCTGCACCACCTCATGCGCCATCGGCAGCAGAATTAGAAGCGATTTCTGCCCGAGAAGCAGCAGAAGCGGCGCAAGAGAAGCTAAAGGAGGAAGAAAAGCGACGAAAGGAAAAGCAAAGGGCGAACCTCATGGCGGTTTCACCGGGTACGAAACCCCTCGCGAGAACTGACCCGAGAAGTCGAGTGAGTTCTTCAGCTTCAAATTTGTATTTATTTATTTTATTTGTTGAAAGTACGTTTTTGCAATAAAATGTTTGCGTTCAGTTTTTAATTTTTGAGAGAACCGTGCGCAGAAGGGCGTCGACATTTTTCATAAATACTTCGAGCATGTTCAAAAAGAAAATTGGGAAAAACCATTGAAAAATTAGTGCTGTAGTTAATCAAGTGATCAGCATGTATACTCTCTACGACGATTTCCTCTGTATAAAAAATTTGTTTTGGTCCCAGTAGATTCTTCACGACGAAATACTTCTCGACAGCGAAGTTTTTTCTGTTCCCTGAATTTCATTGTAGAAAATCCACCTATTGAACCTGGAACTAAATTAACCGCGTGCTTCCCCGATGTGTACGTGCTCTTGTGTGCTTGAGAAATCTTCAAAATACGACGAAGCGTGGTGTAAAATTGAAGAAGGACTGCCAGTGACGATTATAGGTCCTCCCTAAATAGATTGTTATGATGGACGAACAAATCCAGAGATATTAAGAGAGTCTGGAACCCATGAGCCATTTTGAGTGACTTTACATTATTCGATTATTGATTGTTCTATTTGTGAACTTAGTACAATATTTAAATGGATCAAGTCCATTAACCCTGGCACTGCTGTATTTTCCTCAATACATAGATACATTCCTGCTTCTTCGCTTGCATTTTTTTCTTCGAATTCAGTTAAGTGAGCAAGCAAGGGAACGACGTGTGCCGAGTTCTAGACTTGGCCGACTCGCTTCTTACGGCAGTTTGGCAGCTGGACTCGGAGCCGGTGCTTTGGCAGAAGTAACTAGGCGGTCTCTGGGTCTCAGCAACACGGATTCTGATCGGAACAAGAGCATGTTTGGATCGTCTGCGTTTCTCACGGAGGCGAATGCCGAGCGCATTGTTGACACGCTGTGCAAAGTCCGAGGTTAGCATTCGAGAAATAAAAAATAAATTTTTAGCGCGAGGAAACCTTTGTGATCGGAAGAAATAGGTCGAATGTGAGTCTCGAAAAATTTAATTTGCCGTCGAAAATACAATCCTGTATTTCTTCTGCTTCCATTCTTGCGTTTAGCTCGCGCGGAATTTCAATGAAATTGATCTTTGTATCATTGAAAAAAAATTCCTTGATGCATAGAAAATGGTTCTAAAAATTCGTCCTTGCAGGTGAAAATTATGTTAAGTTAAGTATGAATACTGTAATTGTGATGATGAATATTTTCTCCGGAAGTTGGTGGAACCCTGAGTAAAGTTGAGATGTTCTGTACAATACTTGTGACTGTCAGCGACATCTACCCACTTTAAAGTGATGTGCCAATATGAAGGATGAAATGGGAACAGTCATCTGGCGAAAGAGGATTAAATGTCTCCCCGTGCGTTAAAGCTTTTGGTCCCCTTTGCCGGAAAATTGGATTATGAAATACATCCCTGCTTGAAATTATAAGAAAATAACGGGAATTTGAAGGAGCTTTCTGGGGTTATTGGCATTTTTTTATTAAAAGCTCTCTTTCGTATCACGTGCGTATAGACCCATTTTCTCTAATGATAAAAGGTGAATAGGGTTTGAAGAAATTCTCTGCTTTTGTGCTTTCTAGGTGCTGCTCTAAAGATCGGGCAAATGCTGAGCATCCAGGACCAGTCGATGATAAACCCTCAGTTGCTGAAAATATTCGAACGAGTTCGACAGTCTGCAGATTTCATGCCGCGCTCGCAAATGGAGGCGATGCTGGTGCAAGAATTTGGCGAGAATTGGCGCGAAAAGATGCTCACGTTCGACGAAAAGCCGTTTGCAGCGGCGTCCATTGGCCAAGTTCATCTCGCCACTCTGCACGACGGCCGCAAGGTTGCCGTCAAGATACAATATCCCGGGGTAGCTGAAGGAATTGAGTCTGACATCAGCAACCTAATGAGTGTCCTCACTTTCAGCAACATTTTTCCGAAAGGTCAGTAATATTCTGACGGCGATTGTGATCCCCGAATTTTAAGGGCAGTAATCCTCAAATAGCTACTCTGCGGATCCTAGAGTCTTATTGGGATCCACAAATTTTTCACAAGAAAAGTAGAAGTTAAACCTCGAGGCGAATTCTAAGCGAACTGCAAAATTGTGACTTACCGAGTTGGGGAAACAACAAGTTACTACTTCAAAATTGGCATGAAAGGAAGTTGAAATTGGTGATCCTAAACCTGCCTTGCAAAGGTTGACAGAATGCTGAACTTGGAGGCAAGGGTTTTTCTCCTTTTTCAGTCGTAAAAATAGCCAAAATGCCTCCAGCGAATTTGAGGTACTGTACGAAGGTTTGAAGGGGAAAGCCTTGAGTTGGGAAGGATTTTAAAGCATTGCTTCTAAGGGAATTCAGACAGAGACTTAAAAAAAATTCCAAGACAGGAAAGTTTAATTTATCAAGGTTCAATTAATGATGAAAAAAAAAAACTTGAACACATATAGTTGGGAATTTTTCCTTTTCTTCTTCAACTTCGTGTATCATCAATTATCAATTTTACTTTATCAATTGATCAATTTTAATATTCTATCGGTTGATATCCATTGACAGGTCTGTACTTGGAGGAATTCATAAAAGTTGCCCGCATTGAGCTGCAATGGGAAGTAGACTACGAGCGAGAATCAGAATGTGCGAAGAAATACCGTGAATATATCCTGCCCTACGCTGACTACTACGTTCCTGAAGTGATTGGTGAGAGTTCTGCTTCATCAAGTATTTTTGAGAAAGAATCTACAGTATTCACTTTACTCGGGCTTCAGATGAACTGAGCGGTCGGAGGATATTTTGCACGGAGTTAATAGAAGGAATCACGTTGGACAAGTGCGAGGAACTTGATCAGGAGGCTCGCGACAGAATAGGATATTTAATACTGAGGCTGTTCATCCTAGAATTGTTCGGTTTCCAGTATATGCAAAGTGATCCGAATTGGGCCAACTTTTTATACAACACGGATACAAAGCAGGTTTGTTGACGAATCACAAGATGGATTTGAAACAGAATTTGTTCATGGAGTACTTGACGATTTTTCTTCAAGCTTGGATTGCTGGATTTCGGTTCTTGTCGAGGATTTAGTGACAAGTTTATCGGACTGTACATCCGGATCATCCGGTCAGCTGTGGACAAAAACCGAGATAACGTGCTCAAATACTCTCGAGACATCGGATTTCTTACTGGATACGAGAATAAGGTTGGAACTTCACATTTCTCATTCAAGAAAATAACGTTTAAATTTTTTCAGGGGTTTATTAATTTATGAACATAAGTACGATAGCATTGCCCCGTTTGGTCATTATCTTCGCTTCAAATTATGCAGCGGTGATTTTAATTAAATTAACTTCCACAGTCTAATCTCGATAACTTGAACCTCGTTTTCATGTTGATAAAATCCCGAGTCCGTCTGAATTCATGTGCACATCTGTCAATCCACGAGGAAGGTTTGCCTGAGTGTGTAGTTATTCCTTTAATCGCCATTAATTGTCAGGTGATGGAAACGGCTCACGTGGACTCGGTTATGATCCTCGGCGAAGCATTTAAAGAAGGCGGTGGCGTCTACGACTTCGGAGAACAGAACATTTCCGCAAGAATCCAGCCGATGATGGGCGTGATGCTCGAGCACCGACTTTGTGCGCCTCCCGAAGAAATCTATTCAGTGCACAGGAAGCTCTCAGGAATTTTCCTCCTTTGCGCCAAACTCCGATCGCGGATAGACTGCACGGCCATTTTTGAAGAGGCCTGGGATGATTATTTATCCCAAAAGCCGGAATTGGACGATTATCTGCGTGGATCGCTCGATTGAGTTCTGCGCCGTTTCGTAGGGACGCCGTTTCGATTATCTTAGGACCAATAGGGACGCGGGCGTGGAGGAAAGCTGGTTCCGCGTTATTGTGCAATATTGTCTTCGCGAGCAAAGAGAACATTTGGTGCTTTTCGCTCATGTTTCTTCCTTTTCTTCGAGCTGAAGTTCATGTGGGGAGAATCAATTTGAAATTCAGCATTGGTGAATACGTACTTTTTCCTTAGATTAACAAAATACTTGTTTGTTGGGGGTTTTCACGAAAAGCTGATCACAGAAAAATTACTGGTGATCTTCCCCAGTCACGTATATAATTTTTGAGTTCTTTTAACTTTAATTTCCGTCTTCCTCAACTCCGCCATTTCACATTTCGCTTTAATTTCATGAATTTCAGTGTGTTCAATTTTTATTAGCACACGTGGACTCTCTCTTCATAACGGAATTCAAGGGACCAGAAAAAATGCATTGCAGAAAGAAATCTGTGAAGAGAACCTTTATGGCAGTGCTGTCCATCTCAGATGTGGACAAGGGCCTGAATACATTTTTTGGCGAAGGGCCACATTGCAGACAAGGGGAATCCTTGCAGGCCTAAATCGACAATATTCTTCGGGTTCCAAATTTCCCCTAAAATTTAAAGTTTCAAATTTAACTCCTTGCCACGCGTTGAATCAGAATTTTTGAAAGGGGGAAGCAACATTTTGAATTTTTAAATGTATCTTGAAATTATGTATACTGTATCTTGAATATTGATAGCTGCCACCTTGAAAATTATGGGAAGGGGACTGTGGGATGTATGAGGAGTCTCTGCAGGCCAGATCTGGCCTGTGGGCCAGATGTTGGGAAGCACTGGTCTATAGCAGCTTTTCCCAACATTTCTGAGCCCGCGGACCAGAAAATTCCACAAAAGTTTATGCGGACTGGCAAATTTTCACAAATTTTTTTTAGACTCAAAAAAATTTTGCTCGAAAGAGTTTATGGCAGGTATTTGTAATAATAAAAAAAATCAACACCAATGAAGCACCTTAATGGGGAAATGTCTTCCAAAAATTAGAGAAGTTGGCTTGAAGAAGAATTTCTGGGGATGAAAAAAAAAATTTAAAATTCCAACTTTTATTTTTTATCAGATAATTTCAACTCTGCTATTGTGTTTGCAAAATTTTGGATAAAGATAACCAACTTCATTGTTACTTTTGTTAAATTTCCCGCAAACTGGCCAAAATCTTCTGCAGACCATGGGGTTGGGGAACACTGCTACAGGGCCAACATATTTTGTTTTACAGAGAAAATCATTGTAGACAAGAATTTTGCTGAGAGAGTCTACCTGTGCAGATAAGAATTAATCCACCACTTGAAATTAAGGAGCCCTTCTTGGAGTCAAATTTAACGTTGAAACCTTTTGGGATCATTATGTGATAGTGAGCAGCTATGGTTGGAAGAAACTTCCTGTCCCGATTTTAACGTTAACTACAGATGGTTTTAATGTTGGATTTCTCTCAACTCTTCTTTCTTTTGTTTCACATGAAACACGTGTTGTAGTTAATAAACAGCTTCAAGATTTCCATGGATCGGGTTTATATAAGTTAGGTCAGTTAAATTTTAGTTGACCAATTTTTCTAGTGTTCATTATGATTCTGGTGAAATCCTTCCGACTCCCCAGTAAAGAAGCTGTGGCGTTGAAGCGGAGATTGCCACTCCTTTTTACGCACTACAATATTGAAGGATAATGCAGTCGTTTTTTCTGACTATTTACCTCAGGTGGGGGTGGGGGAAATAGAAGCGAGTGATCATGAGTGCGTTATCGTCAATCATCGGTGTGACGAGAAGTGCGGGAAGATCTCTGGTGTTGCCGGAACGCAGCATTGCCACGACTGCCGCGTTGGAGCACATCATTAAATTGACGCGGTTGCGAGTAGTGGACAACAGCGACTTGGGGAAACAGGCCATGCTGGAAGGAAAACCCCCGAAAGTCATTCACGTGTACAACAAGCGTGGTGTCGGGCACATAGGTGAGAATTTTTCCTTTACATCCGCAGTAAAGAAAGACCCAACTCCTGCTGTGAATCTCCAGGGATGAGGTTCAACACGGGCGGAGTTTCTAGAACTTTATGTAGGTGACGCTTTAATCGGGAATCGGAGAAATTCAACTGAAGGAATGCGAAGAATTTTATCGTGTTCTCAGTGATCTACCCTGAGTTGTAGATGGGAGTTTGTGATTTTCTTTTCAAGATGTTAACTTCGGTTTCCGGACATCCACTTCGCTTTCTTGGCCAGTCTTTAATTTTCTCAAATGAGGTTCCTATTCGATGAAGCCTTCTTGAACATTGGTGGTTGATACCGTTTCAAATGATGTTGAACTGACTGACTTCTGAAAGAAGACTGTTGATTAATAAAAATGAATATCACAATATTTACTTGAGCACCATTCACACATTTTTCTCTCATATTTGAGGGGGAAAAGGGGATGTGCATCATAGGTGGGCATGTATTGTTTCAAAAGTTTTAGAACTCCGGGTGTGCATTATACTTGATTCTCATGGGACATTTTGGACCAAATTTACTTTGTACACGAGTTTTAATTGAAACAATTGAAAATTAGTTGAATTTGGGTTCAATTCATGTCTATATTCAAATTCGGGTGTTTTTATTTTTGAAATATAGCAGTTATAGATTCCCTAGAAATGGGTTCACTTGGGGATAAGATTATATCTGAAAAGAAACTCTGATGCACATCTTACTCAAGTCAATAGGGTAACTCACACCTTTGGTGGAACAGTTTTATTCACTTGAGGCCCTGGTTTCTTTACTTCGGTGCATCGTGCTGTTCAGGATAGGGTGTGAAGCATTATTGCGCAATAAAAATTCAGTAGTTACCGTGTCGCATGAGAGTCCCCTGCGATCAAGGACATCGACACTTACTTTCCTTTGCAGAGATTCATTAACAGAAATTTACATCTCTTGAAAAAACAGGGGACAAGGTTCTTGTGGCCATCAAAGGTCTGAAGAAAAAGGCGATCATCGTGGGTTGCAAAGGACAGTGGGTTAAATCGCACGTGCCCCGGTTTGACACCAACAATTGCGTTCTCGTCAACGACGACATGTCTCCTTTGGGGAACCGGATTCTCGTTCCGATCCCACATTCGTTACGTAATCGCGGGGATTACGCCAAGTTAATAGCAATTGGCACGAGTTTTGTTTGAGTGCCTTGTTTTTGATTTGGTACGGTAGTTGAAGGAGTCGAAATCCGCCTGTTCTTTTATAATGTGATCGAGTGCAATGAAATACATCGTTGCTGTTTCAAGCTGCGTGCATGAACTTGACGACTACTTATTTCTCTCTCGAATTCGTTGATGTGTCCGGGAATAAGCTTTGAAGCGTGCATCGTGTTCTAATTCACGAAGCTTACATGTGGCATTTGAGAGTCGAACGAGGGTACGTTTTGAAAATGCCTGGCTACGGAAAATAAATAACGCCAACATTTCCGTTAAGCATATATGTACACATCTATAAGAAGCATCACACTCAGTATAACACACCAACAATGGAAGCCGGTCATAACCATGTAACAACCATAAAGCACTCTCACGAGGATTATGATATGCTCCCTCCTTTTACGTCTCTCTACAAACATCCACTGTTCATAATCTCCCCATTCTCATGCGTCTCGTCTGTTCCACTGTGAATGAGGTGAGAATGAAAACGCGGATGTCTTATTGCTTGGGACACGTACTTGATCCGAAAAAATGTCCCCTCATCCTTCGGGGATGTGGGTAAGGCGGAAAAAAATGGCACTGTTCTCTTGTTAGAAAGTAAAAGATGCGTTCGACTGAGGTTCAACACTGATCCGAAGATTTCCCGCCCGCGGTTGTAACCTGTGAACGCTTGGGTGTCAAAGTTACTGCGGACCGGTTCTAGCGCATCGAACGATATTAAGGCGTCAATTGAACTGCTTTCGAGTAGTGACGTGAAATGCGCATCACAGCAACCGCTTGAGTATGTACAATACAGCATGTGTGTAACCGCGAAGGAAAATTAATTGCGATGAACAGAAAAGAAGTTTTTCGATCGAACAATCACATGACTGATCGAAATAGAGTCTTGATACATTTCTTCACTTTCGCTTGTCTATTTAGAAAACCATTAATCCTCCTTGAGAACTGGTTCCTTTTTTTTTCCCTCTCCTGCCTCTTTCGTCTCTTTCTCGATATGGATAAGACCAATTGCTTTCATTGCTCGCATACAAGTATGTACACAAGTTTTCAACATCACACTTCTTTGTCTACAGGTACAGAAGGCATCAAAAAACGGAAATATTTGCAGGAAGGATGAGATACGCACCTCGGAAAATTGTGTGGAGTACTTTGTTAAACCAAGGAATCCTTTAAAATTAAATTCAAGAATTCAATGACGTTTTTGTTTGTCAATAGCTCGAAACCTTAAGATTAGATTTTTTGTGAACATCAGACATCATTCTTTCATACATTTGCTAATTAAAAATCTCATTCATTCAAACGACTGTCAACATTCATACCACAACTTGAAATCACCACAAAATTCAACAAGGTTTGTTCTTGAATTTTGTTGATTGATTTTTCTTGGAAGACCTTTGGATTTTGCTGTTCATTTGCCACATAACTTTTTTTTCTCAGCAGCAATTCATGCCACAACACTGATAAACACTATCGATTTATAAAATGCATCTCTAAGCAGCTTCAAGGGTTCGTCCCAATCTCGGTTGAAAATATTTCTGTGAGAAAAGAGCCATTTTTCGAAATTCTGAAAGGAATGATCGTTTCTATGCCACGAGCGAAACCTGCTTTCGGTTTCCATCAACTTTCTAGCCCTCAGGAACAGATGCTTGCGAACCGCAATTCGCAGAAGACAAAAGGAGTTTGTGCACAAAAGGAGTTTGTGCAGGGGCTGGAGGTTTGTGCAAAGTCGCTTTCAGACATGAACCTTGGGACGAACCCGAATTCCGAACACCTCAACACATGCAGGAGTATTCGTTTTTCACTTCGGTAACGATAATACGGATGAGATCATCCCGCATGGTAACTGGCGACATCTCCTTCACCGGTAACGTTGCAACTGACTAGAATGTTCTCGCAGAGTTGCGCTAGAGGTCGTGTCCAAGCCGGTCGAGCTCCGCGAGAGCAAAGTCTACGTCATCGCGGCCGACGGCCGGATTGCTAATAATGGCACGGAAGAAATTGGGCGTGTCTCCCTGCGGCTGGTAATTGATCATCAGTGTGCCAGTGTTCATCATACGGCTCTTGAGTTGTGCTGTGATGCGTCCCAGGTCTTGCTGCACAGGTTTGCTCGGCCACGTCAAGTTGCTCTTTATGCTAGAGCGTAGTCTCGTAGGCACGTACCTGCAACCACGCAAGACAACCAGTCAATTCACCCACCGCCAGACAGAAGCACAGACAAGCAAGTCAGGTGTGCCCATGGATGCTTTTCGCTTCCAGCAAGTATAACCCTGGTACATTCTATGTAGATGTTGCCTCATCAAATATTAATGCAGTCAAACCCTCAAGTTCAATGACATAATTTGTCCTGCTGGTACATATGTTGTGGCGCTATATTGAGGGTATGGTATATGAGAGGAAGGTTCAGTTGAGGGAGTCCTCTGTGAAGTCAAAAGAAGCTTGTTCACAGAATTATCAGCCCACTCTGACTCCTGTTTTATAAGACAGAAAGCCAAAACAATGTAAAATTGAATCTCAAATGCGCTATTTTCATGCTGTACTGTACTGCATTTTAAAATATAGTTAATAATGGATAACATTTTAGATTTTTATGCATATTGTTAAGAAGCAGGAAATGCTGGTGCACAGCACACCCTCAGAAAGGTATTTTTGTCCCTAAAGAAAAACTAAAACAAAAAATATAATGATACAAATAAAACCCCAAAACAAAAGAGGACTGACCAGAAGCAGATGTTGACACACTCTGGCTCAGGCCACAACAGCACAAAGCGGCCAGAAGTGTCCGCCTTGAGCTGCTCCGTCATGTACTCGGCGGTGGCCATGAGGCCGTCTATGTGGCGCCGGAAGCCGGACATGCCCTTGGCTCTCCACATGAGCCACAGCTTGAAGATGTCGTTGTGGCGCCCGCACTGGATGACCTTGTCGCCGGTGTCGAAGCGACAGTCGTAGTACTGCTTGTCGTCTTGGAACAAGTACTCGGCGTTCATTTGATTGCAGTTCATCAATATTCCCTGCCGATTTTTGTTTGTGGTACAAAGAAAAAAAAACAAATGGTCAAGCATAAATGTATAGTAAAATATATAATTATGCTTGTGATTGATGACAGCACAGAGTCATAATTTTCAACTGATGGATCTTGGCCAGCAAGAAATAATGAGTTGCTCTGAAATGTCTTGTAATCCCAGCAACATGTTCAGCTTATAGTTCATACTGTTCTTTTTATTTATACTGACACTGCATTCTGACAAACACAATTTATTCATCTTTGTCATCTGAAGTATGTATTGACATCAAGCATTTGCCCCTCTGTCTTGTGCAAGTGTCTTCTGTGAGGAAAATACAATTGAACCTCTTGAAGTGAAATTCTAAAGGACCAGCAAAACTATTCATCTTAGGAACCTTTAGAGTTAGGGAAACAACCATTTTTGTCTCAAAATGATAGGAACTGAGAGAAGTGGAAATTATTAGTAACGCTTTAGTGTTAGCCCAAAATTGTATTGTAAATAAATTGACAGGATGCTGAACTTGGGGGCAAGGGTGCATTTGCCATATTAATCTTTTACTTCATTTCAAAAAAGCATCAATAAAGTTACACATTTATTGTTTTTTTTCCTTTTCAGGTAAAAACCAAAAGCAACCATGACTTGAGGAAATTCAAGTTGAGAGGGAAAGCCTTTGAGTTATGGAGGTTCAAGTTAATGTGCTTCAAACAAGCTTTTGAAAGACAAGTTGCTTCAAGTCCTACAGCTTTTTTTGTGGAACAAATCTTCTTCAAGCTATATACTTGATGTCCCAGAAAAAACACTTCTAAGCATACAAGATGACAGTAGATTATTTCCTGGCAACTGAAAATGAAATTTGAGAGATGGAATTATGATAATTTATGATTATTTTTACGCCTCCATTCTGAAGAATCATAACATTGTACAATATTCACTTAAATGCTGCATAAACATAACTTTTTGTTCTTGTAATCAAAGGGATACAGTTCCTATAAGACAAATTTAACTGTGAAAATTGAAATTTTGAGCATAATGAAATAGGACCAGTTTCAACAGATTTAGGCATGTACTGTAATCTGTAAGTGTCTTCAGGAGGATAAAGTATTGAATTTGATGTAAAAGGAAACTTACATCTTCTTTGAGGTGAACAGTGGAGCATTGCAACAAGCAGCCCATGAGTTTGTGGGGGTTCCAAGTCACAGAATCAGCCCTCTCCACTCCAAGGAATCTCTCAGCTCTGTACTTTTCAGATAATAGCAGTCCACCTCCCCAGGCAGCCTGAAAAAAAAGAGAATTTATCATATAGAAACATATGCTAAACCTTTGAAGGAATGAGTTGACAACTTCCAAGATGAAAGGGATGACTCACATCAATGTGGAGCCAGAGCCCATATTTGGCACAGATGTTAGCAATTGGTTCCACAGGGTCAAAGGCCCCCAGCACAGTTGTGCCACAAGTGCAGTTGACAAAGAAGGGCTTCTTCTTCACAGGGCCTTCATAATTGAGACAAGCCACAATCTGTTTCTCCAGCTCCTCTGGGATCATCTTACCCTTGGCATCTGTCTTTACCTCCACCACATTATCTGTCCCCAAACCAGCTGCAGATGCAGCAGCTATAAAACAAAAGCATGCAGACCATATTCATATATCTCAAACTTGATTGACACATTGCATTTCAATTTTGACCATTTGAAAGAGCTAGTCTCAAACCTGGAGATTTTTAACATGAAGAGTTCATTGGGATGTTAATGCATATCTTTCTGTAGCTTACAAAAATTGGTTAATTGGTTTTTTCAACATCTACTTTCCCTATACCCAACATTCAACACCGTCAGCACCAACTTCAATTGTTTAGAAATAGTCACAGATTCTTTCTAAATTGTTCAATTGATCATTAATTACAGATTAAACCTTGTTAAGTTGAACGTCCATAAGTCAAATACCTCCCTAAGTCAATGTTTTGAAGTCCCTGCCTGAATTCCCTTAGAAAAATGCATTGAAAACCTCCTTAACTCAAAGGCTTTTCCTCCCAAACCTCCATAAGTCAAATTGTTTGAGGCCATTAGGCTTTTTTTTATTGAAACAGGAAATAAAAAAAGCAATACAAACGGAATTGATGTTCTTTGAATGGATGTGACGGACTAAATTAATTGGGCAAATGAACCCCTGTCTCCAAGTTCAGCACTCTGTCAACTCATTATTTTAAGCAATTTAAGACCCATAATATGACCACGTAGTGCAATTCTTTAATGTTTCCCATGATAAAATCCCTGATACCATAAGCCAAACATCTACATAAATCAAACCCTCCCTAACTTGAATTTTTGCTGGTCCCATGAAATTTGACCTGAAGAGGTTCAACTGTATATAGAAACTGGCTGAATACTTTGCCCTCTAAATTGTGATCACTAGTTGTGCATTTTCCATTTCGGTAACAAAAATCAAAACAAAGAATTCATGCATGTTTTTTTACTGCATGTGATGTATACAGTATTTTGTTATTTTTAGTTATTATTATTTTTTAAAGATATTTGGGTGTTGGGGGAGGGGGGGAGAGGAACATTTTTTAACCTTGTGAATGCTGACAAGCAGCAAATAATGTATGTTCATCAACAAGAAATCAATGGCTGAAGCTTGAATTAATTTTAAATTAGTTTGGTATTACTGTACCTGCACAATTTCAACTCATGAATCTGCAAATTATATCCCAAGCTGAGTATTTGTCACATGAAGAGAATTTTAGAAGAAGAATCACTCACTTTTGATGGAATAGTGACTGTGCTCACTGGTGAAGAGCACAGGCTGACAAGGCAGTCCATGTACCCCCTTGGTTTTACACTCAGGAAAGTGCTTGTAGCGGGCACAGAGCACTGCATTGATATTGGACACAGTGCCACCAGGACACAAGATGGAGTCCCCTCCTTTGTAGCCAATCACCTCCCTCATTTTCCGCAGCACCACATTCTCCAGCAGGATGAACACAGGTGCTATTTCATAGGTGAACATGTTGGTGTTGGCAGATGCAGTGACCCATTCACCAGCCAGAGACACCAGGTCCAGTCCACAGGACAGCTGGTTCAAGTAGTGAGGGTGTCCTGTAAAAATAATTTTTAATGAACAAAATGCAAAGAGAAAATAGACAACAAGAAAAGACACATGAAGAAAAGGTCATAAGATGATGCACACTTTTACAATCAAAAGTTACACAAAGAGTCTACAAGATACAGTTAAAACTAAGTTGAATATTTTCCTGTGCACAACTTTTTTCAAGCCCCTCTCCCTTGAAAGAAATTGAATTGAAAACTTCCATAACTTGAATGCTTTTCTCCTCAAGTCTGTATATACCCAGAATTTTCCAGTCATTTTGGCTTTCATTGTTGTGACCCCTGATTCCATGAAGGATACATGAGGAATAAAATTAAAACTTAATGCTCTTTTTTCAAGTGAGTGAAAGATCAATAGGACAAATGAATCCTTGTCCCCAAGTTCAGCATCCTTTCAGCTTGTTTACAAAGCAGTTTTTCACCAAACATATCAATAATTTCAACTTCCATTAATTATTCTTTCATTTAAGAGAAAAGAGTGGCCTCATTAACTCAGAAACTCCATAGGTTAAATGTATTTACTGGCCCCTTTGAATAACTTGAAAAGTTCCAACTGTAATTTTCCTGTTCAGTTTTAATTGATGACTAATCAAGGCATGTGCCTCCCAATTAATCAATGACATTTAATGTTCAGGTTGATGTCCTTGTGTCAAATTTTCCAGACCAAAATTGTGCAATAGATGACCTGAGCTTCTCTAAGTTGAATTCATAGGTAGTCCAGAATTTTGAACTTGTAGAGCTTTTGACTATTTGGATCAGGGAATTAGGCTTATTCCTTTGAGTAGATTTATGAATACAAATATTCACTAAACAAATTATTATTACTGTTCATCATTCATGCACAGTATCTCCAGCTGTGCCTAATCCCTTGCTGAGAGCAGAAATAAAATACTTTTGCATCTGTTTTTGTTTTTTATCTGCATGTTGAGTAATTCTGAAATGTAATTTAGGCATATGAGCACAGCACATGCATAATCATTTCTCACACGTTTACCCTTTACAGTAAAAATAATGAGGCACAAAAAATATCTCTCCCTTACTTGACTATTATGGTATACTGTATATAGACATTCCATAATGCAGTGTGTATATCATGTCCATTTATTCTGTCTCCAATTCCCCAGGGCAACTTTCCCTGTTGAGCAACCCAGAACCTGTCGATATGAAGGCAATTTATGGCCTAGATAAAAAGAGGGAGTCATTCTTTTTTCTGCCTTCATGCTCACCGTTTATTCAGACCATTTCTCACTGACCATTCTAGCATAGTTGGATGCAACCAACACTGACCCTGGTTCATACTAAATTCCATATACTGCTTGGCATTTCTGCAAGTTCCATCATTTCTTCTCGAAAATGATATTTGGAAAAGAAAGGGGGATCACCTGACAAAGAGAACATACATTTTGTGGAGATCTTGTCAAACTGAGTAGAATTCAAAAATCTGAATTTTTTCTTCCTGTCTGAATTTATGTATTTGAACAATATAATAAAAATCAGTGTTACCCAACCTTTTTGGGCTTATTGCAGACTGGCAACATTTCCATGAAATTTTGGAGGACTGGCAAATTTTCAAAAAATGTTCTGCAGACTGGCAATGTTTTGTAAAATTTTTGCACACTCAAAAAAGTTTTGCCTGAAATACTTTATGGCAAGTATTTAAAAATAAGTTTCTGCCTTTAAAAAAAAAAATCAAGTTGAGAACTGATGAAGCAGATATGACAGAATGTCTTCAAAGAATTAGAAAGGTGGGCTTGAATGAAAATTTCTCAGAATAAAAAATTCAAAAAATGTATATCAACAGGTGAAAGTTTGTCTGAAGTGTTACTACCCCGCAAATAATTTGGGCATTTTGAAACGCGTTTTAAAAGCGTTTCTATCCAAAAATGCTAAGCGTTTTGTACCTCTCTATGTTACGCCTACTTGGGATTTTATTTAATGCATATCTTATGGGCGTTTTGAAATGCCTTCTAGTTACAGCTAATTTTTTTGTCTTCTGGGATAGGATTCATTACAATACTGAAACGCGTTAGATACGTGTTTTAAAACAAAAAGTTGTTACGTTTGCTACATTTGTTACGTTCTCCTATAGGAGAAAAGCCAAATTTTGCTTTTTTGTGAGATAATTTTAACTGCAATTGCCTTTCAAAATTTTAAGATGAAGATACTGTAACATCCTTCATTGATAGTTTTGATACATTTATTGCTGGTCTGCTGACCATGTGTTGGGCACCACTGATATTGATCTCTTGAACTCCAAAATGCTCATTCTCAAACTTCTATATAACCAAAATGTATATTGAACTGTTGGGCTATTATTCTGGAAACCAAGGGAAGAATGAGCAACAAATGTAACTTGAGATTTTTCAGATGGAAATGAGTGGATAATTGCAAAATTTTACCCTTGCTTCCAATTTTAGCATTTTGAAAACTCAATTTCTCAGCAATTTGATGCTCAGAAGATAACACCTTTTACTTTCTTGTAGTTTTTCAAACGTTTTCTCTTATTGAAAATTGATAGTTTTCCAAACTTTAAAACTTTAAAATTTGAATCATCAGTCTCCATGGGTTCAAATTGAGATTCTCTGATTCAGGAAAAGTAGCAAATTTGCATGAAACCAGCAGCAATAATATCTGCTTAAAAATTTGCATTTGGATATTTTAATAAGTACTGTACATCAGTATTTGTATTCTCCAAGACATCACTTGAAAAAAATATGCTGACATTTTCTCAAGCAAAAATGATTTCATAGGGTTTTTAGATGATTCTTCAGGAATTTGCAATGGACTTTTTCAAACACCCAAAGAACGTGTAAATCACCTCATTTTTAAAAGATAAATAAATATAAACTGGCCCTGGGGAAGAATGGAGGACACTTTCAGAAGAACCCAAGCAAAATCAAACATGCGCCTAGGTTTCCTATCTCACTTTTTTTCCTCCTTTTTTTTTTTGCATAACCGGCACGCGTCCAGCCATGAGATTAAAACCGCGTTTTTGCATTTCTTCCTCCCCCCCCCCATTCCCCCACTCATCCGTGGAATTACAATGAAACGGGTCTCGTTTATTCAACCCAGGTTTTTTTTTTCTCGCCGTCTAGATCAAACAAAGTTTCAGAAACTCAACCGCGGTTTTGAAAGGCTGTAAAATTTATGCAGATGCGGCGCGAAATTGGCACAAGCGGGAAGCAAACTTCAGGCAGGGCCAAATAATGCTTCTGCAAGTGAGGGTGTGTATATATATACTGACGCGTGCCAATCTCTGTAGCTGGATTTCAGCAAAGATAATTTCATTTTTAAATTACAAACACTGTTAATGTTGATGGTACCTGTACTTGGAAATTTGACCCGCGCATATATACAGCAATTTCATTGATAAACTGATACCTGTAATATTGCAAACTTTATGGAATTAATTTTCTATTAAAGCTGGTTGAAGAATTTTTTCAAGATTCAAATCAAACCTATTATTATCAAAGGGTGGTGCTATTAATTATTGAGGTTATATCACATGTTGAACCTCCTTGATTCATTGGATATATTCTGGCTGCTGATGTGGCAAACAAATTGTTTTATATTCATTGCGTGATGCATTCTTTGGCTTTCTTCAGCTTTAATAAGTCATTTGGCAGAACTAGAAATGTACATTTCAAGTGTCACCTTGCAGGCATATTCTTGGCTGAAAAATGGCAAAGCTTCTCCTGTTGTTGGGTCTTGGACCTAACACATGTGCATTTTGTAAATTATTCATTTGAATGTTGGGAAATATTTTACAATAAGTTTCCTTGAGACCTATGAAAGAATTTTTGCTCTGTAAAATTATCTCTCGGCAAAATGAGGTGGCATTTCACACCACAGCCTGAAACTTATGTTTATTCAACTGCTTGTAATAATAAAAATAAACACTGCCAAGACAGTATGAGGAAAGTGGGGGAAGGTATGTAAAAAAAAGCAGAGAATTTCAAAAGAAAGAAAGTGAGAAGTGAAAACGTTTTTCCGGCCTTCGGCTCCTTTCATTGTGCATTAATAACGCCTTCCTTCTCGCCGCATGAATAGCGGCCCAAGACCCATGTGCCAGAAGGGTCCGGGTTCTGATGAGACGCGGTAATTCCATTTCCTCCCCTGGTCTCTCATAAGAAGGGTTCATTCATAAGTTTAAACAGTCTCGTTTGTCCAAACAGTCTAGGTGGATAAATGAGGTTGATGTACCGTAATGTAGCATGCAATAATTAATATTAAATAAATAAAATATTATTTCAAATAAAATTATAAACTCCATTTGAAGTAATACAGCCAAAAACTAATTTATCGTGACAAAATCTCTTTCCAAAGGGTCAGCATTGACAAATCCGAATAAAACAAAGAAGTAAGCAGTAAAACTATACAAAACAAACCATTCCCAAAATTATAATTTATTGAAAGAAATTTTCAAAAAAAAATATCCCAAATATGCAGACACTGCTCCAAATTTCAATTATTTTTACCAGAAAAAAGTCAATGATAAAATTTCAAACTTTTTCAAACCCCACTGGCAAGATATTGAAAATTTTTGCTCAAAATTATTTTTTGAAAAGTGAAGAATTAAATTTTAAAACCCTCTAAAATGAGGCACTGCTTTCCCAAGGAAATTTTTGCTGCTTTATTTGAGAACTTATCCAAACATACAGCATAGTTTAAACTCTAAATTAAGAAAGTAAACATCCATTGAATCTCAATTTTGAAATTCTTATTTTAAATGCTTTTTTCAAGTCCCCACACAACTGTATCCAATATTTGTCTGTCATAAAACCATTTTTTTCTTGCCAATGTATGAAAGAGATAAAACCACTGAGGTCCAATAAAATGTCAGATTTTTAAATTCTTCAAATTATGAATGATCAAGAAATGTTTGTTTGTGAGCGTGAAAGTGTACCCAATAAGTCAATCTAACAATAAAATGCACAAAAAATAAAAAGGTTCTTTTTTATCATAATTGTTTTGACTCCAATCCTTTTTTTGAGGAACCTGGCTCAGCAGAAACTGTATATAAAGAAATTACTCAATTTCAAGGAACTGACGCAACTTTTGATTCACCCCTCGTATTTTCCTCCTCCTTCTCCTTTACAGGTTCCACGTGGACTGAATAAACAGGCGTTGATTTGATGAACCTCTTGTCTGCAGTGAGTGGAATCAAAAATAAAGGAAGAATAATGAAAGCGCCTCTTTCATTCTCAAGCCAGAACCCACATTTTTGCTGGACCTGTTTTTTTTTTTCTCTGTGACTTATTGGTGAAGCATCACGAGAACCGTGTATATCATGCATATTTATGTGATGAAATTATGCACAACCCTGACGCGTCAACAACAAACACAAAAATAAATTGAGACAGGGGGGAATATTCTGGGCTTGAATATAATAAATGTTTCTGGTTTTAGAAATATAATTCCAGCGTTTCTGACATTTTTGCTGGGGGGGGGGGAAATTAGTTCGCTCGCACTTGCTGATTTATTATGCCAATCTATATTTCTGAAGTATCAGGTATCTTTTTGAATGTTTAAAATATTGAAAATGTGTCTTCCAAATCTTGCGAAATACTTTAACCATCTTCGCAATTCGTATTAATTTCAGCCAAATGCTGCATTTTTGTTCTGGCAATTTTTATTTTAAACGCAAATGCTTATCCACATGAAAAAAATAAATGTACTATACAGGTGAAAGTCAAATAAAGCCAATTATCAATTGCATTATGCAAATTTTTTATAAAAGCCACAACAGAAACACTGCAAGTACAATTTCATAATTTTTTGACACAGCATTTTAGTAATTTGGCACAAAAACTGATTTTTCTGATGAAAATATTTTGAAAAAATTTAGAAATTTTGTCAAAAAGCATTTTGGAGGAATCAACGCTAGGAAATGTATTTTTTTACTGTTGTATCTCCCTACAAAAAACCTCCCAAATTGAGTAGAACCCCATTTTGAATCGGTTCCATTTGGTGTTTTTAGATATTTTTATTTCGCTATTTTTGTTACTTTTGCTGTGATTAATTTTGTTTGTTTGTTTGGGAAACTTATTTTGTCTAAAAATGCTTGGGTCCATTCACTCAGAGACTAAAAATTCAAGCAATGAACCTCCAAATTATTATTTTTTAATTAGAAATTTTGATATTTAGCTAAAAAAGTCTAATAAGCTAAAATTACTTTTTCAATTAAAAATTTGGATGTTTTGCCACAAAATTTGTATTATTCAGTACTTTTAGATACAGATGATACCTTGAAATTCAACCCTGATCCATTGCCAGACTATTGCCAAATTGCAAAGC